CCCGGCGCGACTGGGGGCCCTGATCTCGGTCGGGGTCTGGGCAGCGCCCGGCATGACAGGGGGCCCTGATCTCGGTCGGGGTCTGGGCAGCGCCTGGCACAACGGGGCCCTGGTCTCAGTTGGGGTCTGGGCAGCGCCCGGCACGACAGGGGGCCCTGAGCTCGGTTGGGGTCTGGACAGCGCCCGACACGACAGGGGGCCCTGAGCTCGGTTGGGGTCTGGGCAGCGCCCGGCGCGACGGGGCATTGATCTTGGTCAATTTCTCTGCAGCGCCCAGCATGCAATGAGGGGCCCGGATCTCCGTGGAGGTCTAGGCCTTGCTGCAAGACAAATGCTAATAAAACTTCCTGCTGGTGGTTTTCTGCAGGAGACTCGACTGGTGGCGAAGAGACGCGGCATCACCTACTGGCTGTGGTGAGAGCAGTGTTCGCATCTCAGGGGGTCAGGACACCTGGGTTCTTGCCATCAGTTAATGCACGATATAGTGGCCGGACTGCATCACGTCTTTCTTTCTTTCTTTCTTTCTTTCTTTCTTTCTTTCTTTCTTTCTTTCTTTCTTTCTTTCTTTCTTCAGTTCAGGGCAGGTTCCAGCCGTGGCTCAGTTATTATTTCTTGGTTTATTACTGGTGCAGTCATTTCCCTAATTGTTGATTAAATATTTAATGCATTTGTTCCCTGCTGGATTTATGCCAGGGCTTTTCCCCATTGGCAGCCGTTAATCAGCAAATCCATAGGAATCAGCCCATCAAGCCCGGTATCCCGTCTCCAACAGCGGTGCAAGACACCCCCTAGTGGGCGATGCTGGAATAACCCGCCCATCGGGGCCCATGCTGCCTCACCCCCATTGGTTTGAGGTCGGCTCCTGCCCTGCGTCAGGAGGGTTTTAATACCCTCCACGGCTCTGGAGCCGCATCCCCAGCTCCGGCTCTTCGGTGTCACGCCGCTGACTCCAGAGATTGACGCCCGCTGGGATTCTGGCCCGAGGGGTCCATCCTGTCGGGTGTGTTGGTCTGAAAGCGACACTGCAACTTGACCACACATCACGGGGCTGGGTACAGAACTAGCCGGGGGCGGGGAGTGGGGGGTGGGATCTCCGGCCAGGGAGACGTGGTGAGATCCAAATGGCTTCAAAACCCTGGAACATCACATCAACATCCAGTCCCTGTTTGGAGCCCCGTTGAGATCCAGTGGTGGGGAGTTCCGCAGTCACTCTGATCGCTCTTTCCCCACAGGACGCTGGCCTCCCTCTATATCTGGCTGCAGCTCCTCACCGGCTCCGTCGTGGCCACGGCCATCCTCTACACGTACTTCTTCGACGGGGAGTTCATCTACCGCACGCTGCCGCTGGTGCTTTCGGAGCACGGCTACGACCAGCTGGCCTCCGGCATGGGCGGCCACCTCACCCTGCATAGCCAGGGGCTCCTGCCCTTCTGAGCGCCCTGGCCACGGCTGGCTGTGGTGCCGCGGGCTACTAGTGGGCGTGTGTGCGTGTGCGTCTGGAGGAAAACCCAGTAGAGACTCCTGGGTGATTAAACTATTTAACCGCCGCATGTTCATTACTGTGACTCCCACACCTTGGTGAGGTCACTGCATCCCACCCCTTCTCCTGTGAGGCTGATCCCACCCCACAGGCTTCGGCGAACACCCTGGTGCTGCCCGGGCACAGGCCGTTGTGAATCTCAACACTGTCTCTCAGCGGGCGGCTCTCCTGCTCCAGGCCATGGGGAGGCAGGGGAAACTGAGGCACATGAGCAGGCGTCTCTCCCCCATCTGAGCTACCGCAACTCCCCAGTACCTGGTAAGTGCCCTGGGCCCGGCAGGGGCAAGAGACCCAGTTGTGGGGGAAGGCTGCAGCTGTTATTTATCAGGCATATCCTGACCCCCATCCCTCGGCGGCACCAGGTGGAAGGAAGGATGGGTGGATGGGTGGGTGGATGGATGGATGGGTGGGTGGGTGGAAGGAGGGATAGATGGAAGGATGGATGGATAGGTGGCTGAGGATGGATGGATGGGTGGACGGATGGATAGAGGGGAGGGATAGGTGGATGGATGGTGGGTGGGTGGATGGATGGATGGGTAGATGGATGGATATGTGGGTGGAAGGATGGATGGATGTGTGGGTGGATGGATGGGTGAGTGGGTGGGTGGATGGATGGGTAGGTGGAAGGATGGATGGATGGATGGGTGGGTGGATGGATGGAAGGATGGGTGGGTGGAAGGATGGATGGGTAGATGGATGGATATGTTGGTGGAAGGATGGATGGATGTGTGGGTGGATGGATGGGTGGGTGGAAGGATGGATAGATAGATGGGTGGGTGGATGGATGGAAGGATGGGTGGGTGGATGGATGGATGGATGTGTGGGTGGATGGATGGGTAGGTGGAAGGATGGATAGATAGATGGGTGGGTGGAAGGATGGATAGATAGATGGGTGGGTGGATGGATGGAAGGATGGGTGGGTGGAAGGATGGATGAGTGGGTGGGTGGATGGATGGGTAGGTGGAAGGATGGATAGATAGATGGGTGGGTGGATGGATGGGTGGGTGGAAGGATGGATAGATAGATGGGTGGGTGGATGGATGGAAGGATGGGTGGGTGGGTGGAAGGATGGATGGGTAGGGAGATCAATGCACCAGGATCTACGTGGGTGGAAGGAGGGATCGGAGGGTGTGCCTATAGATGCAGTATCTGGATGGGCAGCTCTAGTTATTAGCAGCCTCCTCGCTTCGCTGATATGCAGTGTGACTGACAGGGATTATAGACCCCGCTCCGGCCAAGAGGTGCGGCGAAAACCCAGGAGTCCTGCCCCCACCCCGCCCGCTCTAACTGCTAGCCCCCACTCCCCTCCCAGAGCTGGGTAGAGAACCCAGGAGTCCTGGCTCCCAGTCCCCCCTGCTCTAACCGCTAGCCCCCACTCCCCTCCCAGAGCTGGGTAGAGAACCCAGGAGTCCTGGCTCCCAGTCCCCCCTGCTCTAACCGCTAGCCCCCACTCCCCTCCCAGTGCTGGGGAGAGAACCCAGGAGTCCTCGCTCCCAGCCCCGACACAATGATTCAAATGGCCCTCCCCCAGACACAATGCCCCTGCCCACCAAACAAGGACGTGTGGCTCTTGGTGCAGGGGGTTCAATGTTTATTGGGGATGGGGGAGGGGTCGCAGCCGCCCACATCTGGGCGCTTTGGGGGGCGCAGCCCCTGTGAGGCCAAGACCAGGCTGGAGTCAACCAGGCCTCTAGGGCGGCTTCTGCGGTGGGGCCTGAGGCCGCCTCCAGGCCTTTGCTGTTCAGCCCCCTTGAGCCGATGTCCGTCCGTCCCCACGCGCCGGCCCCCCTGCCATGCCCCGCCCTTTGGCCAGCTCCAAGGCCCCCTCCCCCCTCAATCTGCCATTAATCCCTGTACTTAGCTATCCCTCCATCCTCACATGCACCCCAATATCTATCCAGCCCCACACACCCCTTTATCCTCAGCTGCACCCCTCTGTCTACCCCTCCATCCCATGCCCCACCCCCAGCTGTCCGTGCGGCTGGCTCTGGGCTCTAGCATCCCCTGACGTACGGCCTCAAATCCTTCCCCCTGCAGCGACTCTTCCACGCGACCCTGCCGGAGAAGAGCAGAGAGTGAGTCAGGGGGGAGAAGGGGCCAGCGGGCCGGTGCCCTGGCCCTGCCCGTGGCCAGCTGGACGTGGTGCATCTGGCCCTGGTGGAGAGGGCAGGCGTGGCAGAGAGGGGTGGGTGGCATGGGACCCTACACTCTGTTATCAGTGTCGGGGGGTCTGGGAGGTGATTGGGGTCTAGTGGTTAGAGCAGGGGGGCTGGGAGCCAGGACTGCTGGGTTCTCTCCCTGGCTCTGGGAGGAAAGTGGGATCTAGTGATTAGAGCAGGGGGGCTGGGAGCCAGGACTCCTGGGTTCTCTCCCTGGCTCTGGGAGGAGAGTGGGGTCTAGTGGTTAGAGCAGGGGGGGCTGGGAGCCAGGACTCCTGTGTTTTCTCCCCGGCTCTGGGAGGGGAGCGGGATCTAGTGGTCAGAGCAGGGGGTGCTGGGAGCCAGGACTCCTGGGTTCTTTCCCTGACTACAAGAGGGGAATGGGGTCTAGTGATTAGAGCAGCGGTACCAGGACTCTTGGGTTCTACGCCCAGCTCTCCCCACTTGCTGCTTCCCTCCTGGGACCCACCTGGGCCGTTTCCCCTCCCTACCCTACACCCCCCCTCCCCGTACCAGTGAAACTCACCAGGGCGTGAGGCCACGTGCCTGCTGTGCGATGAACTTAGCGCATTTGATGTCGTCTGTGATATTGTCATCTATGAGCTCTGGGGAGCAGAGAGATGGGTGGGGTGAGCCAGGGGGCAGAGAAGGGGTGTGGGGACTGAGGGAGGTGTGTGGGGCGGGTGGGTGGATGCGTGGGAGGATGGATGGAGAGGCGGGGGGGGGTAGATCCGTGGATGGATGGATGGACAGATGGAGGGACATGAGGTGTGAGGTGTGGACACACACGGATGGAGGGGTGGGTGGAGGGGCCAGAGGGGAGGACGGACGACTGGATGGATGGAGAGCGAGGGGTGGAGGGGGGTGGCATGGCCGTGTCGGGTGGGTCCCTGCCCCCGTTCCCTGCCCCCCTTCCCTGCCCCCCTTACTGGGGTCCCTGCCCCCCTTCCCTGCCCCTCTTACTGCTGCAGGCGATGCGGCAGCCGTTGGTGGCTCCCGGCGTCCGCCCGTCGGCGCACCAGTACTTGCTGTTGATCTGAAAGATCCCGTAGTCCGTGCTGCCGTCCTTGTTGCGGTTGATGGCCCTGGTGTTGTAACTGCTCTCGTGCTTTGCCAGGCAGACCCCTGCGTGCGGGGAGAGGCCGGGTGAGGGGGCGGGACCCCTTCCTGGCTGGGCCCCTGGGGGCTCGATCCACAGCCCGCCGCTCAGCGGCTGCCTAACCCTGGAGGTGCCTAACTCCCCTGGGTCCCCTTCCCTTCAATCCACCTTCCTAGCTCTATACTGGGCCGGGCGCGCGTATGCCAGGGGCAGCCTTGTGCCTAGTGGTTAGAGCATGCGGACGGCATGTAGGAAATCTAGGGTCCTCCCCACCCCACGCCTGCCACGGAAAAGGGATTTCGAATGGGTGCGGGGGGAAGAACGCCCTGGCCGTTGAGCCACACCGGTTGGCCTCCATCTCCCGTATAGCAGAGGGGCCCCCCAGGGCAGGGGCACTGCCCCCTGGGTCCCCCCTAAGAGCTGGCTGGGAGCTAGAGTTGGCCCTTTAATTCTTTGCGAGGAGCTGGGCGTGGGAGCCCTGGGGGGAGCTGGCCCCGGCAGCGGTGGGTAGATGGGGGCAGCTACTCACAATCAGCCACCGTTTTCCTGACGAAGCCCCCCAGCCCATGCCGCCGGAGGATCCGGACCAGCTGGCACCGGGGAATGACGACGCCCTGGCAGCCGGGGGTCGTCGCGGCCAGCAGGACGAGGAGAAGCGGGAGCCCGAGGAGCAGCAGCGGCTTCATGGCGGCCGAGGCTGCGTCTGGCTGGGTGTCGGAGCAGCCGCTCGGGGCCCCCCCTTTTATGCCGGCTCCAGGGCAGGGAGCCCAGGCCCGCGCCCAGCACATCCTGCCGGGAACGGCTCCAGGGGCAGCCGCCCAGGCGTGTCTGTTCCCAGCAGCCGCCTCCCGCATGATAATTCAGTTTGCGTCAGGGACTTCTAGTTAAAGGCTGCTTGTTTTGAAGGCCTCCGAAATCCACCAGCTTCGGCGGAGCCCTTTGAAATGTGGCGCCCCTCAGAAGGGTGTGGAGGCGAGTTAGTGACCCCGATTTGGGAGCATTTGAGCGCCGGGCGCTGGAGATATCGCCCGCCCCAAAAGAGCCGTTTTTCAAAAAGTTTCTAAGCACGAAAACAGCAAGGAGTCTGGTGGCACCTTAAAGACTAACCGATTTATTGGGGCAGAAGCTTTCGTGGGTAAAAACCTCACTTCTTCGGATGCATAGAGTGAAAGTTACAGATGCAGGCATTAGATACTGACACATGGAGAGCAGGGAGTTACTTCGCAAGTGGAGAACCAGTGTTGACAGGGCCAATTCAATCAGGGTGGATGTGGTCCACTCCCAATAATAGATGAGGAGGTGTCAATTCCAGGAGAGGAAAAGCTGCTTCTGTAGTGAGCCAGCCACCCCCAGTCCCTATTCAAGCCCAGATTAATGATGTTCTGTTTGGAGATGGGAGTCAGCTTCTTTATTCTGAATAACAGACGGTTTCTGAAGATTTG